CGCGCTGCGAAATGGACAATGCGAATACGTGCTCCCACAACCTTGCCTGTGGCCGGTTTCGCGTCACCTTGGACTTTGAGGCGACATGTACGTAAAACGTGATCGTTCTATATGGAGCATTGGAGCGAGAAGCGTTCCTCAACGAAGTGATCGCAATGGGTGCCGAACGAGCGGCTGTTATGTGTAGCGGAGTGTGTCGCAGACTGATATATAGATTACGAGCTATGTTACACGCGACCATACCACCGTGGATCCGATAATAACCCACCCACTTTGTTTCTTGGCGTGCCCTCATATGGTCGCTATTCTATAATTCAGTGACAACTGGGGTAATAGATCTAAGCAGGTTTTATGGACTACACGTTAGTCAACTAGTAGCTTTCCCGCGGGTAGCATTACGACACGGTGAATTTGTCCGTAATCATACGTTGCTGTGTTGATTGCGTTGGCCGCGTGGCTGGATGGTGGTTAATTTGTTGCGATCGATTGAAACGAGGGAAACGTCACCCTAATTTTCGACCTGCCCCGTATGCGCATGCATGAGAGTCTACGGCGCGGCGGCAGCCTGGACTATTACGTACTTACTAGATTAGCACTTGAAACTGCAAGGATATATAAAAACACACCACAACAAGTAAAACCTTCAATCGCGAAAGTCAAATAGCCGCCGGGCATATTACGGCGGCTCCTGCGCTCGCTACCCGTACCTATAGTTCTGCGTGTGTTTACACGCGAAAACTACGCGATTAGGCAATAATTTGTGTAGGTCTCATTTACAGGGCGCGCCGAACATGCAATTTCCGACCACTGAAATGTAGACTGCCGCGTGGAAACGGTCGATTTACGGGGTTTCATAGCGCCGTATCCGTTTCAATTTCGCTTGTTTGCACGTCCCAGATGAAAGTAAAGCGGCCGTTTCGCGGCGCGCAGTTTCCCTCGCGCAGATATTTCTAAGCCTATATTTATCTACATTCTTTTATGCGCGGCACGTGCACGCCGCGACGAGATAGATAGCTACAAGAGCGTACAAATTCTTTCTTTGTACGCTCTTGATAGCTATCGTCTGCTACGAAACGCGCGCGCCCTTCCGCCGCCATCGCTCAAGGCAAATGTCAATTTCGGTAGAATCGAATTAAAACGACGAGTGTCATCAACCAAAATCGCCCCATCACCTAAACCCCGTGCCTGCCCCTTCAGTTCATTGCGTGGGTAACGACACGTGGATAACAAATCCTTCACGATTAACCGCGCACGGTGTTCGCCAGATTAACTCTACTAGTCGATGGAGTTTACAGCACGCTTAATTACTCGTCGTCGCGCCTTCTTTACGCTCACGTGGCTCGAAGTCCTTTATACAAAATAAGTCAGTGCTTCGCCGTGCATTCAGGTAATGAATTCACATAAAATTTATAAATGGATCTACGGCTGTTAAGTTACTCGTGTGAAACCGAGATTCCCCCAACGAGGTATTCGTCTCTCCGCTGGAAAAAAACTTCAACACTCAGTCACTAAAGAGTCGTAAAATTCCAGATAGGGTGAGAGCATGGCATGCTTTTTGGCGCACGCATCCTGCGAAGCTGAGTTTCTACTCAGAATATAGAGAAACCAAAGAAAACAATAATAAAAATAATAATAAAGAGCGTTACCATATTTCACCATAACTTTCAAAGAAGATGTAGACAAAATGCTTGGTGATTTACTAGACTAACGCGGTAACTGCATGGGATAGAACAGATAGAGCTTCGCGCGTCTATAACGAGCGAATCCCGTTACTATAGGCCTACTGTCAATCTTCGCTCTAATTCTCGTCACGAATACTATGTCGTTTAGCGCACGAATAATCTCAAATTTCGCCTACGTCAGATGGCCTCCCATCGCAGTTATATACACAGGAGATTTCACCGATTAACTCTGATGCACCGTTTCAACACGAGCTTTATGCGTCACTCTTTATTCTCACTGACCGTGCTGACAGCGGCCTTGAGCGATACAAAAAATTCTCCATATTTACCATAGACCTTACTATAGGTTATAATGAGGACATATTTCATGCTCTGTGCTGCTACTGAAAGTGAGAATGTATCATAGAAATAACATTCTAGTTAAAGACTCTCTATACATTTATACGGAGTTCATGGAACCATGTCGCTATCGCTCGCACAACCGATCGCATCCGGTATATATAATTGTATATTATATATATTAGTTATATTATATATATATGCGCGTGTGTGTGTGTGTGTGTGCGTGCGTGCGTGCGTGCGTGCGTGCGTGCGTGCGTGTGTGTGTACTTTCATATCGTTGTTGCTAGTAATGCGACAATAAGAAACAAAAATCTACTGCTCGCACACATATGCGAGTAGGAATATTTGCGCCCCGAAGCGACGTAACCCTGTTTTTGATATGTATATCAAAGATTCTCGGCGCGATATTGCCTGCCGAGCCATAATAGGATGAGTGCAGATGATTTGTGCACCTCTACCGTGCTCAACAAACGGTATAATTTGTTTATCACCTGTCCCGTGGTTTATCGACTGTTTGTGTTTGTTTTTACGCTAGAAAGTGGTGTCATTACACACGCCAAGGTTATTGTGTGAGCCTACGATCACTTATTCAGTTATGCCCAAGTAAAATAAGGTGAAAAGTATTCGTCAGAGCTATGCGGACGTTGATGAAGCTAATACAAACGTGAAATCCAGCCGGCGGAATAACTTAAATTTCTTATTTAGCCTACGATAATTATATTCCATATTCTTTAACGCACAAGCGTACATACCGCAGAGTGTTATGCATGCCACGTAGTAATCTTAACTAGACAAAACACATCGTTTAAAATATTTTGGTGGTTATTGAAACTAACGTCTTCAGGAGTGAGTAAAAACAATTGTTTTTACACACTCCTGACGTCTTAAATTATGAGAAACGCGAATCTACAACGGCGGCTGTGCTAACCACGTGCGCGCTCGAAAAAAAACGGACGAAAAAAATTTGCGAGCGATTCGATCTCAGCTACGCTGCTCGACGTTGAAGCAAGTCATCTATACAACAAACGAGATAAGAAAGAAAAAGAATTCGCTTACCTCAGTTTGAACACGTGCTTCCTGCCGGGAGACTTCGTGTAGACTGCTGGTCGTCGGGCATTATCTACCAGGTTGTATATGCGCGACCCTACCTTGTTGACCCACATCACCCATCAAGCGTTCATTTTCTCTGGCCTTCCGTCCGCTGTCGATCGCGTGCATTCTGCTTCGAGGTGGCAAGTGGGGGATTGGGTGCATGGTTGCGGTGATGATAGTGTTGCTGGCGCTGAGATGGTGATTGATTCGGCTGCACGCGTCAACGAAATGTCGCGGAGAAAGAGAAAGTTTCGAAGAATGTAGATTCCGCGTGCTCGATAGGATGCGGGGCGGGTACCAGTGCCCGAGAGATTGCGTTGACCGATCGTTGACTGGTCTCTCTCTCTCGCTGTCTCTCTCTCTCTCTTTCTCTCTCTCTCTCTCTCTCTCTCTCTCTCTCTCTCTCTCTCTCTCTCTCTCTCTCTCTCTCTCTC